TAAACAGGGGATCTTTGTCTCTCAGAGGAAATATGTTCTAGATCTGTTGGCAGAAACTGAGAAGTTAGGTGTCAAGCCTGCAGATACACCCATTGAACAGAACCACAGGATTAGTGCAGAGAGTGGGGAGCCTCTTGAAGACAAAGTTATGTTCCAGCGATTAGTGGGAAAGCTCCTATATCTTTGCCTCACTCGGCCAGATATCAGTTTTGCAGTTAGTGTTGTCAGTCAGTACATGCATTCTCCTAGAACCATGCACCTTCTTGCAGCAGAAAGAATATTAGCATACTTGATGAGATGCCCGGGTAGAGGTATACTGCTCAAGAACAATGACCACATGAAGGTGGAGGTCTATACGGATGCCGATTGGGCTGGGAGTGTTGATGATAGAAGGTCTACCTCTGGATATTGTGCCCTTGTTGGAGGTAACCTTGTCTCTTGGAGGAGTAAAAAACAGAGTGTTGTCTCCCGATCTAGTGCTGAAGCTGAATACAGGTCAATGGCTAACAGAGTGGCTGAAATTCTATGGCTGAGTTCACTACTTGAGGAGTTGGGTGTTGAGTATGAGAAGCCCCTGATGCTGTATTGTGATAATCAAGCGGCTATTAATATAGCACACAATTCGATGCAGCATGACAGAACTAAACATATTGAAGTTGATCGACATTTTGTACGAGAGAGGGTCTCATCACAAAAAGTGTCTCCCGTACATCACATCCAACATGCAGCTAGCARATATCCTCACCAAARYTGTRCCAAGGAAGAAGCTAGAGGCGGATCTCTCCAAGTTGGGAATGATAAACATTTATTCCCAACTTGAGGGGGAGTGYAGAGAACAYTGATGTGGGCCCCACAKCTAYGGTCCCACTGTGTTCGTAGGGTAGAAGGTGTTTTAGTCATCCTAGGGTTAGCTGGTGGTCAATTGGTTATTTCAGTTTTATTTTGTTTATTTGTTATGTAAATACTAAGGGCAGATCTGTCCTTTCCATGTAATGAGCATAACCTATAAATACTAAATAAAGTGGCGGCGATAGAACATTAAGATTTGGCTCCTCCTTTCAACTCTTGTGTTCTACTGCTCTCTCTTCTCTTTCTCCTCTCTTCTCTATACCTTTTCTTCTATTTCCGAACCTGAAATCCATTAGGGTTCAAGACTGATAGCAGTCTTGAACGTCTACTGACAACTTTGGGGACCGTGTGGCACATTTGAATACATCCCTTTACCCACTTGCGCCACTTTTCCCCAAAACCACAATTTTTTCAATACTTACAAGTTCCAACAAAAAAGCCTAATATACTAGAATATAGATTTTTTTGATATCTAATATGCAAATCAACCCTTTTCTTCTAGATCTCAAAATTTCCACACTCATTTGCAATGAGAATTTGATCCCGTGATTTATCTATAGTGCACATAAGCACCTTGATTAGGAGAAGTGATGGAAAGTAATACCTTTTTGAGCCTCGCGGACAAAACCTTTGTAATGATTTTATACAAGCTAGTGATCAGATTGATCGACCAAAATCTTTGGGGTAATTTGCTCTAGCTTTTTTGGGAACCAAAGCCAAGAAGGTAACATTCATTGCTAGATTTATTATTCCCCTTTAAAAAAATTCACAAAAGACGTCAAAGAGGTCATCATTCTTTAGAACCTTCCAACTATCTTGGTAAAAAGCCATTGTGAAACCATCCGGCCTTGGTGCCATTGGTCTATCCTTTAAGAATACTACTTTCTTAATTTCTTCCAAATTAAACCTTCTTTCTAAATCATCCTAAACTCCTTTCTTAGACTAGGCCAGTTCAGGTCCTCAACCAAGAGTCTCCTATTTAAGGGCCTTATATAAATATATTTGAAATGATCCACAAAAGCTCTAGCTATTTCCTTTGTTTGGTCGATAACTACCCCATCCACAAAAGCTCTGCTGTTAGCCACTGCATGAAAACTTTTATATTTCCGTCTCCTTCCTTTATCCATTGGTTCCTTGATTTTTGTCTCCAAGAGATATCTTCTTTGTATAAAATGTCTTCTAACTGTTTCTTCAGATCCCACCTTTATTGCTTCTTTTCTTTCCCTAACTCACCTAAAATATCCTTTGTAACCAACTGATCAATCTGATTAACTGTATCTCTTTTCTCTCTTCTAATCTCCCAAAATGTTCCTTTTTCCATTCCTTAATTTTTACCTTTAGCATTTGGAACTTCCTTTGAAATTTCATTCCCTTCCATTTGACTATGGGTTGTCTTTCATTCCACCATTTCTTCATTTTTTGGTTGAAACTTAGATAACATAGCCTCATGTTTTCAAACCTAAATGGGGTTGGACCTGCTTTCCCACTCCTTGATGAAGGGTGATGGGTCAATGATTACAGGTGACTCTAGGTAAGGCTCTAGAAAGTAATCCCTCCCAGTGGTCCTCCCAATCCTCAGAGATAAAAAAAGGTTTTATAACTTGGAACAAATGGGGTTGCATTGAAGGTTTGACCAAGTTCCCCTGTAGCAATGGGATTTCCTTTTTCTTTTGATCGGCAAAGAAATTTTATTCATTTGTGAAAATATTAGGTACAACAGATTGGATATCCTGCCACCCAAAAGGTACAATAACAAAACTATAGAGAAAAGGCTTGTCTTGCCCTACTAGGGCTTAATAGAAACTGTTCTGGGTTTTCTTGGACTCTTTCCCAAGGAAAAGCCCTAAAGACAAACTCAGTATTCCATGAGCAGACCCAGAGTTTTTTTCAACAACCCAAAACAAAGAAAAGAGAATAAAAAAGAGTAGAGAACAGCAAGAGATTTGAAGTTCGATCAGAAGACAGCATCTGATACCTTCTTTGCATACAATCTTGAAGAGAAGAGAAGAACAAAATGAGCCCAGGTCCATTAAACACAGACAAGAAAAATACAACAGAAAATAAAAGAAGGCCCAACCCCACAACGTTATGTCCCACAACAGTTCTAACTCATCATGTGACTCCAAGATGGGCCATCTGTAAGGGCATGCACATGCCCAACAGCATAGGTTGGCAAAATAACCCTGCGAACCACTGATCTAAGTCATCAAAGTCCTGCGAAGCATTCATTTGAACCTCTGGAACCTTGAGAAGCACAAACTTGAGTATTTCATTAAGCAAAGCAATGCTGTGAGACATGGCAGAATTGTGCGTAAGGGCTCGGGAAATGCACCTGTTAGGTACTGAGTATCCTTTGATTCCACTTGTAACCATCTGTGTTGAGACGGCATAACTACGACCTTTTCTTGTCAACTGCTAGGAATAATGCCAACTCTTCCTGACCATGGCCTTAAAAAGGCACCCCCTAGAATTTTCTAATCTCCAGGACGTTTTGTTTTACCCAAACTAGTGTGCTCTTGCCACTGCACTGTTCCTTATCTTTCTAGGCCTCCATTTTATCTGCCCAATAAAGGTGAAGTGTTTTGTCTGGAACAACCTCTTCCATTTGTCAAACTGCCCCACCTCCTTGTTGGTCATCCCAAGTGCTTGCTCAATCATCCGCAATCACTACTAACAGCTGGACTATCAGTTCTTCCTCCACCTCCCATTTCTTGTCAACCAGTATCAGCTCCATTTCTGTTCTAGGACTACCTATCAGCTAGCCCATTTGCACTCCTTCTAACCCATTTAAATTCAGCCTCTACCTCCCTTGCGATCTTTTCCACTTCCCTTATCACTTGTTTGAATGTCCACAGAGTAGTTCTATTGTTTTTAGCCCAAGAAATGATCACCTTGGAGTCCCCTTCAACCTCAACATGCCTCATTCCTACCGACTGTCGATGTCCTTAATGACCCTTCTCCCCTTGTCTTTCCTCAGCAATGGTGGAATGGAGATTGAGCCTTCCCTACCATTCTTGAAGCTTCTGATCTTTTCATACCTACAATGCTTGCTTTTGAGCTACACTAGCAATTAAATTTCCAGATATTACTGTTGGACATGACTGTCACCTGCTGGACATCATGGATGCAATAAAACTATCAGAAAAAGACATCATGGATGCAATCTTGAACAACAAACTTTTCTTGTAGTAAATGTTAATAGTATATTACTGGGCTGATGTGGTAGTGGGATTTAACGAATGGACTGTCCAGATGGCCTCCAATTCAATGGATGGTTCAGCGTATTCATGCCATTTCATGTGGCTTAAATTGGCTAGGTTGTGCATATAAGCTCCATAACTACTTCATATAGGAATCCTTTTTTCAAATATTTATGTCTATTTCTCTCTCTTCCTCTCTCTCTCCCCCCATTATTTATACACATGTGTGTGTCTTGCATCAATTCAGTTGAAAAGTTTTTGTTTTTTTTTGTTTTTCATTTTTCTTCACATTGTCATTCAATATTCCATATTGAATCTATATTTATGTTGCTGACAGCATGGGAGGCTCAGTTGCTGTGCATGTAGCAGCAAAGAAAGAAATTCGAAGCTTGGCTGGGCTTGTTGTTGTTGATGTTGTGGAGGTGCATGTTTTCTATTGTTTCTTTTTCTCATCTTTCTCCCCCAGCAAAATCATGTCAAGATTACATGAAATTGTCTCTGTATTGTAAATATTGGTTGTATTGTTCAAATATAACTTCAGGGTACGGCCATGGCTTCATTGATTCACATGCAGAAAGTCCTATCAAGCAGAATGCAGCATTTTTCTTCCATTGAAAAAGCGGTATCCATCATACTTGAAATTTGAACACTGTTCTTTTGAATGCTAGTTTTTGTCCTTTATCTGTTTTTGTTATCATAGTTTTAGTTGAAGTGATACTCATGCATCTGAAGGCATCTGTCTGTCTGTCTGTCTATCTATCTATCCATCTGTTTGTCTGTGTTGTGAATGATGAAATCTAAACAAAAATTAATGATACCCAAGAAGTGAGTAAAGCACATAATGAAATGAAGTGAAAAGGGATTTGGCCAATAAATAGCTTTATCATATGCCACTCTCTACTACGAGAAGAACATGATGATTTGTTTTTTTTTTGGAAGGGCAGTTGCGGTTATGGAAGAGGTGATTAACAATTAGTCTTATAAAAGCTTACTAGTGGAAGGACTGCAACTTAGAAGTGGTTGGAGATCCTTTGTTAAGACTCAGGGAGCACACATCAGCCCACCCAGACTCCAACAGCTAGAACCAGCCCAGCTCGAGCAGCAGCTGAGAAAGCTCCTCCTAACGGCAAGCCTGGACCACCTGTCAGATTTGTTTATGTGAGAAGGCCAAGTCAGTAGTATGTTATAACAGCCCATGTGCGACGTGAGCTAATGATTATAAATACTGGTATTACAGAGGAAATGCTTAGTGCATCATTTTCTTAGAATTATCTCTTCTTCTCTTTCGTAGGAGGCAGAGCTGCCCTTCAAGCAGTTCTTGAGGTGGGCAGTGTCCCATCAATTGGTATTAGAGTCAGAAGATGCCGACCACCCGTTCGATTTCCATGGAAGAACGAGTGGATAAACTAGAAACCAATATACAGTAGATAGCCGGAGATGTGAAGGAGCCAAAGGAAGCCATCACGGCAATGTCCTCCCAACTTGCCGTGACAGTGAAGGCGAGAGTTCTAGTCATCTGGCTTGAAAAGGAACGAAGGGCTACTGGTGCGACCAATGAAGATAGATTTTCCCCTTTTCTCAGGTGACGATGCTATCTCATGGATATTTAGAGCTGAATGGTATTTTGAATACAATGAGATACCCGGGCATCATCGGGTAGCAGTGGCCTCCATCCATATGGAAGGAGAAGCCATACTGTGGTACCAATGGTACTGTCAGTCTCACCCCAGTTGACTTGGCTAGATTTGACTAAGGCTTTATGCCGCCTTCTGGCTACAAAAAATTTGATGAAACTCTCTAAACTCAGGCAGCTCGGCTCTGTGCGTGACTATCAGCAAGAGTTCGAGTGCTTGGTAGCCAGGGTTTATGTGATGGAGGCCCATCCCAAGGCTCATCTCACCCCTAGGGGCAGCAGCTCCTAGGATAAGGACAAGAGTCCAAGATAAGTCAAGAAAGGATAATTCAAGACTTAATCCAAGACCTCCAAGACTTATCAAGAATCCAAGATTATCAAAACTCTTCTAAGATTAGCAAGAATTCAAGACTCCAATCAAGATCCAACAAAGACTCCAAGAAGCATCAAGAAATCCAAGACTCCCAGATTCATGCATAAGGAGAGCTAGGGAGATCGGACAGTGGAAGATCAAGCCCAAGAATTACAAGAGGGTTCGACCTTATCAAGACAGCCCAAGAGGATCAAGATCAAGATCAAGA